AACCATTTTATATTTTTTAAAAATATTCTACGGTTGAATACAGTATTAGTACCAGACCATTCCATAACTGAAATAGAATTTATATTTACCTGTGTCATGTTAGCTCCTAGCCAGCCAGCTCCAAAACCAGACAGAGCTCAAAGCGCCAGCGGTCGAAAAATATTCTTTTACGACAATAATTATTCGTTCTAACTTTTAGTTTAAATATAACTACACCTTCAGAATAATGTTAATTATTTTTATTAACCCTTATAAAATTATATTAAGAAATTACAGGGATGAAATTTCAATATTTTTGGTGCTGAAAAAAGATTTTTTTTTAATTTTATCAAGTCAATCGATAGATAATACAAATACAAACAACTTTTCTTAATTCCATTTTGAATGCTATATTATATGAAATAAGGATTTTAGAGAGGGGTTGATATTTCATTATTTTTGGAGCTGGAAAAAATTTTGTTTTTTCTTTAATATTATTACGCCAATCCCTTTAATTCCTTAATATAATTCTATAAGGGTTAATGAAAATAATTACCATTATTCTGAAGGTGTAGTAATCTTTAAACTAAAATTTAGAACGAATAATTATTGTCGTAAAAGAATATTTTTCGACCGCTGGCGCTTTGAGCTCCTGCTGGTTTCGCAGCTGGCTGGCTAGGAGCTAGGAGCTAACATGACACAGGTTATATATTTTTATTTGTCAGGTAAAAGCGTAACACCCTCTAATCCAAACAAAACTATTTTTAAACTACCTATGCCTTTTTTAAATCTATATAACTTTTGTTTGAAACTTTTTTGCGTGTCTATAATATAAATTGAAGGCTCTGTGACGAAAAAGCGCTGAACTAAAAATCGCGTATCAAAAAAGCGCATGGACGAAATAGCGCATATTAAAACAGCGCCTGGTCATAACAGCGGCTGAACGAAACAGCGCCTGGAACCAACGCGGGGTCCCCAGCATTTTTTTTACTTAATATTAAAAAAAACATAACTAATTTACCTAACCTGTGGGGCCTGAAACCAGTTAAATTTAAGCTACGCGCATGCACAGGTTAGGTAAATTAGCTATGTGTTTTTTAAATTTTCTAATTTTTTGAATAATTTAGCGCAATTTTCATATACGCTATTTCGTTAAGGCGCTGTTTCGATACGCGTCATTTTGAGTAGACGCTATTTCGTTGGGCGCTTTTTCGTTGGGGCTCTATTTTGTTGAGCACTATTTAGTTCGGGCGCTATTTCGAAATACTCCATTTTGATTAGGCGCCGAAATGATTGCGCTATTTTGATACGTGCCTAAATTAAAATATCGAGCAATTACGTACTAATGGCACATCCTTAATAATAGATAGGTCAACGCTTTAAAACGGCATCTAAAAACGCGTTAGTGGATTTTCTGCCTTAGTTGTCGAGATAGGCGGTAGAGTTTTCAAATATGTATTTTTACCTCAAGTAGATACATCTCTTATTCGCTCCGTGCGCGACGACAGCGCAAATTAAAATATGTACTAAAGGGGGATTTTTCGTGTATTGACAGTATCATTTTTAATAGAATTCCTAATTTAAAAATGTATTTTTTGCTTTTAATAAAGGTATATTAATTTATAAAACAAGTGAAAATATTCTTTTATTATTATTATATATTTTTATTACTACAGCTAAAGAAAATTAAGTATATTTATTAAAAAAATTATTAAAACATGTGCACAGAACAGGTAATTAGGCAACAGTATTTACGAGAGTGTATGAAAAGTTGCACAATGAAGTTGAAGGTTAATGTCAAACGTGTATTCAAAATTTAATCCACAAAAATAGTTGTAATATTGTAATATTTTCGAATGAAATTTAAAATTGTTTCCTTCATTTTTAGTACGAAAGACAAAATATAGTTCATTAATAAATAACTCTTTTCCAAACAGTCCGTCACAAAATTGCATTCCAGATACATACAATAATCAGAATCTAAGGCAGAAATATTTCGATTTTGAACATGTACTCAAGGAATTTTGAAGAACATCGTAAAATAATAATAATTTAAGAATATAAAACCTTTTAGTTTACTGTTGTCTACTATTTTCAATAGGTATTAGATACTTTTGTTACAAAAATAAAGGTTTCTAATTAATTTTCCCTTCTTACAGCAATTATAGGTACGTTTATTTCTTTGATTTAATTTCCATTATGCTACTGAATATTTATAAAATACTGTTTTTTTTGCTAGAATTGTAAAAATACTAGTTACAATTTACAACACAGCAACTCCGGTTGCTCATTGTATTGCCTTTAACTATTTTTTTTAAATAAGTAAAATATATACGTATATTTAATACGACAAAATTACAGAATATCGCCCAAAATTGCACGAATTATCCGCAGCTAGCGCTAGTATCGCTTTTGCTTCCCCTATCATGACGTCGCACTGAGCAAATAGCAATGGAGATACTTTTGCCTAAACGCAGTAAATACACTATTATTTTTGAAATTCTACGCCAAAACAGAGCAAGAAGCATTTTCCAATACTATTTGGGCAAAACACAGTTTTGGCAAAAATTTTCCCAGAACATATATTCCAAAACAGTATCTACATTTTTTTGAACAATATAAAAATCTTATAGTATCCTAAACCGCTAAAACAATATATAAAACTTCTTTATATTTTGAGAGCTTCCTATTAAAAGTTTTTATTGATTTTTTATTGATTACTGTGTTTTGGAATGTTGCAGCTGTGTTATGGACAGTGTTTTACTGTAGCTTATATAGGGTAGTTCACATTTGCTTATTGTCTCTAATGAGACAGATTTATAAAGTTTCGCTTAGTAAAACAAAATTGTCGTCCTTAAATTTGTAAATTAGCGTTTCAACATCAAGTGCCTTTCATTTTGATTTAATTTAACGTTTCTTATGTCAAAATTTTAATGCCACAAAATGTAATGTATTTTAATTTATATTTAATAATCTGTTTAGGATAGCAGAAGGTGACCGCTATCTTTTGTTACCTATTTGTGGATGTTAGCACAATAATTCATTGTGGAGTAGTCAAACTAATATTTTGATTAACACACAATCAGATGCAGAAAATTGGTTCACTTTTCGGCATTTTCTCGATATACGAGTCGTAATGGTCCAGTTAAATATTTGAAATAGCGATGGATAAGCCTAGATTTAGAAAACACAAAATACGTTTTACTAAATGTGACGTTCATAGTTCAATAAAATATTTTTTCTCATTTTGACATATAAAGTGACATTATTTGTGATCGTAGCTTCAAATTTATCTACTTTTCGCCAACAGTTGCATAATGTTGAACACTATGAAACTGGTTTCGAAAAATTCATTATGTCACCAATTGCGAAAATTAATTTTAAAATCAATAATATGCCTACATTATTATTAAAAGTTTATATCAAAGAAGGGCAGGTTGACTTATAAAAATAGAATTTGATTAAACTTACAACCTAGAAATAATGTTATTCTGTCCCTAGTTTCCATTCTAAATCAGCAGAAAATAATTAAAACACAATACGCGACAAAATAACCCACTTTCTTGAAATCTAAATAACTTTAACAAGAAATATAAACACACTACAATAAGTTGTTGATAATAAATTATAGTATTTTACGTTACAAGTCCGGTAGGTGACTTATTACAGTACGAGTTGTTTTACGGACAAGGCGATGCAGGAGCCGAGTCCGGAATATAAACGAGTACTGTAATAACACCTAACGGACGTGTATCGTATGATATTTTATTTCATCCTGTCCAGTAAATCAACTTTACAACAAGAATTACCTAAATAGTATTAATAGGAATCAACAGATATGAGTCCAAACAAAACAAAAATTACTAATTTTAGTTAAGCAAAATATTTAAAAAAATGTAATTAAAAGCATCTTTTATAGTTACAAAATATTCTTCATTTACTTAAGTTGGTTGAAGAGTATAATTTACTGCAAGAAATGCTACCTATAATCTGTGGACAATTTTCTAATAAAATACCTTATCCGAACGCGGTCGCATTTTTATAGTCGACTATGACTGTTTATATTTTCTTTGAATTATGACAATTATGACAGTTACTTATAAAACTTGTATAGTTATTACCTATTATATTCTTAGTTTTAATGAATACATGGCAAAAGTAGTATACTCAGCTTGTACATTATGTACAGAATTTAAAGATATCGGTAATTGCCATCGTCAGTTAATCTATTTAACTGATTTACTTCGTAATTATGCTTTAGACGCGGATGATAAGATGTTGTTTCGAAAAATTGAAGAGGCTCTTTTGGACCTTTCTGTTAAATTTCGTGTCCTTCCTAATAAGAAGAAAAATCAAATTGTTTCAAAATATTATATATATTATATGAAACATAAGCATTTTCTAGACAACGAATTCCATCCTATATATTCACCATTAAGAAGAGAAGAAGTTCTAAAAGAATTTGAAGAACATTTAAAAATTGCAGAAATAAATAATAAATTATTGATGTAGTTAATTTAAAAATATATTTTTGTTGTTTAATATATTTGCTAATTATGTATATTTGAATATTTTATTTCTTATATTTTTATACATATAAGTGACAATTTGTCAAAAATCGAAAGTAATAAGTCAATCGTTTCTAAAATCAAAACAAGGTTGCTAGGCAACACATTACAGTATCTGATACTGTAATGTTCCATTTACCGGCCGCAAATGTGTACAAGGTAAGTTGATTTACTGGACAGGATGAAATAAATATTATTTTCTATTTGTCAATAAAAGAAACTAGCAATATTGGTTGTCTAGATGTTAGTAATTTTTTATCAAAACACATTTTTATTAATATAGTCAAAATTAGAAAAAATATTGAATGTAACACGTTACGCAATTCCTTATTTTATAAAACGAGCGAATATTTGCGAGACGAGCAGAGCGAGGTCCCGAATCATGAACGAATTTTAAAAATAGTTAATGTGTTAATAACAGAGAAATTTTTTTAAAAAGAGTCAAAAACTTACCTTTCTGACGTACGACGCTTGGGGATGATGCTTAACAGGCATGAAGAGTAGCTTGGTCCTGTCGAAGAATTGTATACCATCAATAGAGGCCACACCCATGTATAAAAAAATACCCAAAACCACAGCCATTGGCACCAGTCTCAATAGAGGTGCCATGAAAACGGACAAGCCTGAAAAAAAAAATGGATTATGTTGTAGGTATAACTAAATTTGTCCACTTTAATAGCGTTTTTTTTTAAGGTTTCATATTATCTACTATTTTTTGTGCATTTTTCAACCAAAGGACCTGTCCCAGTGTCACAGTGTCACGTTCAAAAGGTACCATTTAAGTAATTTGTGCCGATGAAGCATTTAGCAAAAGTAGTGGTTCTTTGTTGTTGCAGGAAGAGTTCAAAGTCACTCTGGGATGAAAGAACAATCCTATTAGGCATTTCAACGACCTGTCAAACAATAGCTGCCAGTGGGAAGGGCTCGTATCTATAAGGGTTTGCAACATAATTTTTCATCTTGGACGCTACTTTTATTCGAAAAAGTAGTCACCAAGCCTGCTAATTTATAAAAAAATGTATAGGCAGTTTTTTTATAATATTTTCATTGTGTTTGACATAAAATATTTAAATTTAATCCATTATTCATGATTTCACGTGTTGTAAATAGAATACATCCTATGTCGCAACCCCTAAGATATACCAACCCTTCTTATCGACAGTTCTTTTGTATGGAATGCTTAATTGCTCGGTTGTAAATAGAGTACGAATGTCAATTATTGGAATGGCAAGGCAATTTGCAGAGTAATGGCATAAAAGCTTTGTAAATAAGTTCAATATTTGTTGCTACTAACGGTTGTTCTTATAAATATAAGAAACAGGATTCTTACAGATTACAGATCATTCCGTAACACTCAAACTTGTAGGGAACAAAATTCGAACATATCTCTGTATCTGTGAGGAGAGGAAGGTGGGTTTCAACATAGGACTTAAGACTCACGAGGCCCATTGTGTATCCTCCTGAACTGAGAGGTATATCTTAGCTCGTCAGCCAGTGTACAGAATTATTGTAGTTGAGAAGTATCTTCTCTTATGTTGGCTGGTGTTAGCCAATACTCGCCAAACACAAAATCATAACAGATCAGAGAGTCACGAAATTAAATAGGATATGCACGATAATCTCATCTTCTTGATCACACCTCTTGTAGAATCCAGTGTCTGTCAGCTCCATGATGTGGAGGTGCTCCACTTAGCAATGACCTTGACCACTCAGAATGCCTGTGATCAGCCGCAGATTCTGTCTAGTCATATTCACGTATTTCTTTACTGTAGTGTACAAGGTAACTTAAAAGCTCCCTAGCAACTCTGCAGCTTGTTGTTTTATCCGATCTCTCTTGGAATTTCACAAGGGAATGTTATTTAATTAGGTTTGACACGACCGTTGTTATTCCAATGGAAGAGCCAGGTTCAAAAAGTATTTGGCTCGATGTGGCATGACTTAGTGAGATTCTGGTACTAACGCTGAGTAAATTCGTGGTTGTGCTTGTCTGCTATCTATATAGATGAGCATGTTCCTTCCAGTGATATTTTTTCTTGTAATTCTTTTAGTTGCTATGGGAATCCCCGTAAGTTTAGTTTGAACTAAACTGGCATTATTCCTACTTTATATTTAGGTTTAAGGGAGATATTTCACGCCTTGCGCCTTGTTTTGTTTTAGGATCGTCGGTGTAGATATGCCTGCCGTTTCCAGCTTCCACCCAATGATACAGTAGTTTTTTCATAACCGAAGTGGCTAGCTTGGGAACTAGCTCCCAAACTCTCAATCTTTTGCTACAAGCGTCCACAGTATATAAAACTTTTATTTGACAACAAAAAATAAGAAATTAACCAGAGAAGCACCATTTTTAACCAATTAACAAAACACATCTAAGATGATTTGATTAAGCCTTGAATGAGAGCGAAGGTGAAAAGTAAACAATTTATAGATAGTTAATTGCAGCTGTTATGTTGTTATGTGGTGTTAGATTCTTTTGGGTGAGATTACAGAACGTCTGCAACTTTGCAGATCTGCAAATATGGCGGCAACTTTGCAGATCTGCAAATATGGCGGACTTACAGATGCAAGTATCATGTTTTCGTATTCCAAAACATATCTGCAAATTCTCAATTTATTGTGGTTTATTACCCCCAACAACACTAAACCCAAATCCACCCTTAATGAGGTTAGAACAGAACTTGCAGATTGTCAGTTTTTACTTTTTTTTTAATAACCATGAAGTCTTCTGTTCCTTTTGATTGAATACAGTTCGTGGTGTCAGATTATCGAGTTTTTAAACATAGTAATGGTTTTGGGTTTAGTGTTGTAAGTGCGCCATATTTGCAGATCTGCAAAGTTGCCGCCATATTTGCAGAACTGCAGACGTTCTGTAATCTCACTCTTTATCTGGTAAGCTGCCTAGTGCTACATATTCCATCAGAATGTGAATGGAGGTTTGGTCCTCCTCCTCACAAAATCTAAACCATCTCTCTTCTACTATTCCAAGTCTACTAAGGTGTTCTTTGAGCCGGCTATGTCCTGTAAGGATCCCATTACTAGGCATGGCTTGATTTTGCTCAGAAGCATCTTGGCCTATCTTAGCACTAAGATATCGTTCTAATTATAAATATTTTTACTTCTTAGTTTTTTCTAATCCCTACTAATATTGTGTTACTGCTGATATGGTAGAACGGCCCAGGTTCCACAAAGTGTGTTTGAGCCAATTTCCTTGCGATATTAGCTGCGCCCCAAAAAAGATGTAGAAGACAAAAAAAGCAAGAAAAAATATCAATTTAAGAATAAATAAAACACAATAATCGAGAGTTGTCTATATGTATATCGTCAGATTCTGGATTATCTGAACACCTACCTATAAAAATGGCAACAAAGAATGCAGACAGTCGTTGTTCTTTGACTTCTATCAAGTGGGGCTTCTCTCCAGGAGCGTGCGTTCTAGACATCACCGTTAAAGCTGACGTATGGACGATTGATCTGACAGCTGCAGCACACATCCATGGAAAGCCAAAGAACCCACACAGAACGTTGATGATGCAAATTATAACGATGTCCAGGTGCAAACCACTGCCCTTTTTCAGTTTGCGTTCGGCTTTACCGATAATTAATCTGGAACAAATAAAGGATTCTTATAATTATTATGAAATTAAAAAAATTAAAATCAGTTGTTATAGAAAGAATACACTATGAAAAATCGTCTAATAAACACGAGGGAAAAGGCAAGAGCCCTAGGTTAGGAATACAGGACCTATCCTACCAAAGGATCAAGGATAGTGGACACACTATCCACTATCAATTCGGGAAATTCCTATACACGGCCTTCAAGAAAAAGAGGAAGTAAAGGAACTGGAAGAACACACAAAAGCAACTCTCAGTACTTCCAAAGATGAGAATGATGTAAAGAGCATAGAGAGCCTTACCTCTCAAATCTATATGAAGACTCATCTAAAGATATAAAAATAGACGAAGAAGCAGAAGAGGCAGAGGACACCCTCATTGATGGAGAGTAATGGCGGGAATTGACATCGCCCAAGTGAATGTCCATCACGTCAAGGGAGCCTCGGATGTGATTTTTAGGACATTCACTAAATAACAATTAGGATTCGTACTGATCCAGGAACCATGGGTCTACGGAAACCAGGTAAGAGGACTTGCATATAAAGATGCAAGGGTAATTCATCACATAAGTGATGAAATACCAATAGCATGTATCATGGTAATAAATAATATTAAATATTCTTGCCTTTCAGATTTCATGACGCGGGATCTCGTCCCAATTCGAGTATACCTCCAATTTGAGATAAGGTGGCAAGATATAGTAATATCTTTTATCTAGTTCGCAGGAGATAATGCTTGTACCACCCCCGGAAGTATCGAGGATAGAGGCCAGAGAAGAAATCTGCCATTACTTCTTGAATGCGGCGCCAATGCACACAGCACCATATGGGGAAGCAAAGACACCAATCAAAAAGATGAGCAACTTCTAGAATATATTTTTAATAAGAAACTTACAGTGCAAAATATTGGGAATATTCCAACATTTGTAACACGGACAAGAAGTGAGGTATTAGATATCACATTAAGTACACCGAGCATTAAAGTTACAAACTGGAGAGCATCGAGTGAACCATCTCTATCTGATCACAATATAAAGATGTTAAAGTTAGACAGCGACACTCCTGAGGCGATCTTCAGGAAAAATCCTCGAAAAACAGACTGGGACAAATACAACACCTTTCTAAATTAAAATTTAGCACATATCCAGACTAAAAAGGGGCCCATGCACCTACTGCTCTGGAAAGTGATCTCGAAGAACTAAGTGAGGTAATACTTGAGGCAGATGAATCAAGCTGCCCCTTTAACTACTAGGGATGATCCTTGGTGGAACCGTCATCTGTCAAACTTACGATTCGGACGTGCGGAAGCTCTATAATAGAGCCAAGCACAGCGGAGATTGACAGAGCTACACCGAGGCACAGCTTCAGGAAATTCTGCGAGGAGATTAACTCTACACCTGCGGGAGCATGACTGCACAAGGTCCTGGCAAAAGGGAGAGTTGATACAGTTATGGCGTTAAAGAAACCAAATGGAAGCATCATGGAGAGTGAGGACGAAAGAGCTCGCCTCTTACTCGAAACTCACTTTCCTGGGAGCACACGTTTTCTAATATGGGACACAACTAAGGTAAGCAGACTCTCAAGAGAGCTATAGTGGCCAAACATATAAACAGCAGCAATCGGTTTAAATGGGTCTTGAACACTTTTGAACCGTTTCAAGTCTCCAGGTGTGGATGGAATATTTCCTGCTCAGCTTCAGCGGGTACAGGAGAAATTACTACCACACGTAATCCGGATATCCCGGAGCAGTCTAAAACTGGGATATATACCAGAATCATGAAGAAGAGCCGGAGTCACCTTTATTCCGAAAGTAGGGAAAAAGGATACCACACATTCTAAATTCTTCTGACCAATCAGCCTCACATCCTTTGTATTAAAAACAATGGAGAAGGCTCTTGATAGTTATATCAGAAGTCCTGGAGTGGATGCTACTCCACCAAAGCCTGCAAGCGTATCGAGCAGGAAGATCTACAAAAACTGCCGTGGTACAGCTAATTGACGTAATCCAGGATGCACGAACAAACAAAAAAAAGGGCGTATGTGCCTTCCTTGACAACATAGCTCAGTTGCTATCTACAAGAACTGCAGAGACATAGATAGAGCAGGACACCATCTCCATCTGCACAACCAGAGGATGTCCACAAGGAGGAGTTTTGTCGCCACTAATGTGGAGCCTAACCGTAGACGAACTTCTATGCAGATGGACTGACTTCGGCATACCCTGACAAGGTTATGCCGACGACATAGTCATATTTACTAGATGCAAGTTTGGAAATATCCTGTGTGATATAGTCCAAAGAGGACTAGAACAAAGAGGAGTAGAACACACCAAAATATAATGCTGTGAGGTGGGACTTATTATAAACCTCACGAAAACTACACTAGTAGCCTTTTCAAGGAAAATAAAACTAAATCTCAAAACTGTTCAATTAGACAGGAAGCATAAAGTCAATCAACAAAATCGAGCCACATAGCGAGGTGATATTTGAGAGGCTGGCGCCCACAGATGCGTATCCAAATAAACTAAAAGGTAACACCAAAATTAAATTTAACACTTATCACATTCAACTACAAAACCTTTTAATTTAAGAAAATCACTTAAAAATTATCTTTGTCTACTAGCTACTTGGGATATGCCCCAGGATGAAATGAAAAAGAAGTACAGTTTTGTGAAAAACTTCAAAATCACAGAGCTGGGCTGCAAGAAAGAATCCATCGCGCTTGCAATTGAAAGACATGCTATTCAGTGATATGGATGTTTCCAAAACCATAGAAGGGACTGGAATAGGAGTGTATGAGCCTAGAACCAAGTAGGTACTCTGAAAGTTTGGGAAAATACCCATCAAGCATCTTCCTGGCGGAAATGCACGCCATTAAGAAGTTTAACATTGAGAGAAACTATCGTAGACAAGAGATTATCATCATGTCCGATAGTCAAGCAGCTATCAAAAAGCTGAGCTCTTACGTAATCAGCTCAAAAATGGTTTGGAGATGCTTAGAAAAGCTGAATGAGCTAGGCGAGGAAAATACAGTTACTCTCACTTAGGTCCCGGAACATAACGGGGTAAAGGGTAACGAGATTGCAGATAGTCTCGAAAGGAAAGGGACCTTCGTGGGACCTGAGCCGTTCTGAGGTATCAGCAGTAAAACAATATTAGGAGAGATTAAAAAAGAATTGGGCAGTAGAAGAACCGATAATTGGAACAACCTCTTGGGACTAAGACAGGTTAAGTTACTTCTGGGTGAATTTAACCAGAAAAGAACGGAAGCATGTATCTGCCTAAGCAAGAACAGGCTACTCATTGTACCAGGGATCCTTACTCGGCATTGCCGACTCAAAAGACACCTTAGTAAACTGAGAGTAGAGGAGTAGAAGATAGTGAGTGTAGATACTGTGAGGAGGAGGACGAAACCTCAATTTACATTCTGACTGCATGTATAGCACTTCAGAATCCAAGGGCACTATACCTAGTAGCATATCAAATAGAAGAGGGAGATTTATTTAACTTGAAGCTACTCCAAATCCTACACTTCCTTAAGAAGATAGGATTGGAAGGGTCGTTACAGGCATCGAGATATCTTCTTGCTGCATTAGCGACAGAAGGGGGCACAATAGATCTTTTAGGTCGCAGTGTATTAACACCCCATTCCCAACATAACAAATAGAAAGATAAGTTAGAAGACCATAAAAAAAATGTTAAAATTTTTAAATTGTTTGTTATTGTCACCCGATGTTTTTTAAAATTATATTAACTGCACTAGAAGATGGAAAATATTATTTTCCAAAACATATGTAGTGCATTATAAAAAAAAGTTTTTATTTATTTATTTTTATTATTTATTTAAAATACCGAAAAATGTGTGTTTGTTTTATTATGGGTTGAGACAAAATTAGTCAGTGCTAATGAATAGCCTATTCAAAAAGACCCTATTCTGGAGGACAATCTTTATATCTGTCGCGTATGGTGTGGGTCCGAAATAAATTAAAATACATTTTCTAACATTAAAATTTCACAGTTATTTTTACAGTTAAATGAAAGTTGATTTATGAATGATTGTTGTGCATATTTGTTCAAGAACTGAGAATAAAAAATGATTTGAGTCTATAGGAATTGATTAGTCGACAGTTGATTAATAAATTTTAACTCTAAAACATGGTAAACGAGAAGTGGAATATTATTATTATGTAGGCTCTATTGGCTAAAAGTGTTTGCAGTAGCTGCTATTAAATAATGGAACCACCTTTTCGTGTTACCAAAAGAATCGATAACAACCAAAGACAGAGATCGATAACTTTGTTGAAGAAGTAAGCCATCCCCAACAATGCTTACTTTTGCAAATGCCCATCTATATCTTGCCGGAAACTTCACGCTGATCGTATTGTACTAGCTTTAAATAATTTACTCCATTTCTCTCTTTAACTTTAAACAGTCCTATGATTTATTTTTGTCCCGACCATTTATCTCCTGCCAAGACCTGGTGAATCTAGAGGCGGCATAAAATAAACATTTTTTTTTAAATTGTGAAAGAATTTAGTCTTTGTCGAAGTAATTTGATGTTATTTTTACAACGTATACAAAATTGAGCGCAAGGAATGAATTTTACATAATCTTTTAAAAAATGGTTTCAGTCCTTTAACCCAATTCACACTAATTCAAACAGAAGAATGTCCACTTACTCTGAAATATGAGTTTCCATAAACAGTAAAATGTAAACAAGCAAGGCGGGAATTACAGATGCAAACATGATCCAAACTGGAATACCCTTAGGCGATATTATCCATCCCCTTTTTTCGGAGTTAGAGGGTTTCAATCCAACAGGTACATTTAGTTTTTCTGTGAACGTTTCTGGCACCATATAATCCACGGTTACCATTATCACTATTGCTATAGGCACACCGAAATCTCCTAGAGCTCTTCTAGCCTAAAAAAATAAAATACCTAATGATTATTAATGTAAAAAGTGCCGAAAGTGAAAGAAGCACAACATGTTTGAGTTAGTTTTCCAAATAACTTATTTTATATTATTTATTACTTATTATTATGAACAAATTTCGGAATAAAACTTACACTTCTGCCTAAAAATTGGCTATTTCTAAACATCCTCAAATAGTAAGCTATGGCAAAAGTTCCCAAAGTGAGAATGGTACAGAACAGAGCCGTATTAGGTTGATTTATTAAATTTCCGTTACCATCCATCATTGGAATCATTTTAACAAAGTGCAGATTCATCTTTTTAGTATCGGTGCCATTGTCGATTATGATGGTATCGTTAGATCCCATCGGAAAAGCACTAATCTCGAAGTAATTTGCCAGCAGGGGATGTTTCTCGAATGAAAAGCACACCTTGGCCACGCTCTCTAATATGTACAGTAATACTATGAGTGTTGAAAAAATATCTTCCGTAAATCTAGTAAACAGTTTCACCAAAACGCTACCTTCCAGAGCTGAAAAAAAAAAAACAAAAATTTAATATTTCTTATTAATTACTTTAATTTTTCGGTAATTAAACTTTGGTAAAATGCAAAAGTTATTCAAGTATTTGGGATCACTGTATTGAAAGAATATGCCGCATTAGTGTGGCGTCAGTGTGCCTAACAAATCATTCTGTCACTGATTTCGACATAAAAGTTTAGAGTTTTTTAGTATATTGTTTGCAGTAGTATAAAAGTATGCATCTAAATTATTTTGTTTGTAATTATTACAGTAGTATGCATGCGTTTTAATCAGTAAAATAATAGAAATAAATAGAAAGTTGACACATAACCTACTTTTTGTTCATTGATTTGCATAATTGATTACTAAATGATTATTTAACTAATATTATGTATTACATTAGGAATATATTATTTTAAGAATCACTTAAGTAAATGTTCAAAAACTAGATATTTAGTCTATAAATAACATTGTTTGACTCTTTTCTTAATTAGTCATTAATTATATAGATATTATACGATTAGACTAAGAGACGGATGGACAAAGTGGTCAGAAGCCAGTAAGTATAGTGATAGAAATACCCCAAGTCCTTTGACAAAAGAGTATCGCAGTTTTAGTTACAGTTTGCACGTGTCTTCTTATTTCAGTTGCGCTCTTGTTTTCTACAAATACTAGAACAATTTACTTTCGTAGTTTATAAATAAATTTCCCAGCTGAACCGATTCTTTGTTAAAAAATATATTATAACAAGAGACAGAAAATATTTATTAAATAACTCATACATTTTTTTAATCAATATAATTTTCTTCACAACTGGACTCTGATTCAGACTCATCACTACTTGGCATTGTACCTAAATTAATAATAACTGGATCTAGATTGCTTGTATTTTTCCCAATCGGAAACAATTATGTTTTTAGTGTGTCTTACATAATTGTCTCACTGAGTATCGGTAACATTATTCAAAGCTTCTAACCAAGTCTGAAAAAAAATCTTTCGGTTGTTAAAACAGTGGCGGCTCGTGGCAATTTATTGCTGTGTGCTGCGCAATTTTGAATTAATTTGATAATTTTCCAATTCAGGTACCTAAAAGTAGAAAATACAAAAAAAAAAACAAAACTGACTCTACTGAGACCTTCTTTTATTGTAATTGTTTATTCATAACAAACAAACTCTTAAAATTCTAAACCAAATACATAAAAGAACAGACAAAGCATTTTGAAGTGCTTAAACTTATTGAAATTTATTTTTTGTATACAAACTCCATACGCCTATTTTTTTATTCACAAATTTTTCTATGACTTTCGTGTTAAAATTTTCAATAGAATGAATTAGCTCTTTTTCTACTGATGACATTGTCAAAGCATTAAGCCTGTCCTGTGACATAGTGTTTCGCAAAAAAGTTTTAATTCGTTTTAAAGTCGAAAAACAACGCTCTGCTTTTGCCGTGGATATGGGTGTTATAACCAAAATTTAAAAGTGATAGGAGACCAGAAAAATTTCTGAAATCTGGTCTTTCATATAACACCGTTAGCTCAGTTTTAAGTTTACATTTGTTTAAAAATGAATAGCGATTTACAGCCAAAGTAAGTTTAGATTCTGGAAAGTTTTTTTCGAAAAGATTAAAATGATTACAATTTAACAATTCTGCAATATTGACGTATTCCGTATTTTCAAACCTGTCCTTTGCTTGTGTAGAAAGAATATCACAAACTTCTATTGCATCGCGGATTTTAGACTCTTCGTTTCTTCTCCGCGCTGTGGAGCACACGCTCGAGTCTTCTGAAACTTCTTTTAAAATATCCTCTGCTTCTCCTTGCACTTTCTTGATGATACTCAAAAATGTGTCTACATTTTTTTTTATTGTAGAGCAACATGAATCCCGCGACTGAAATTGATTGAATAAAATATCGATATGTGGCATTAGACGATGGAAAACGTTTAACCAAAAATTAAAATCAAAGTCTTCCAAGAGTCGTAGACAGCCACTCGCTTTCTTACAGTTTCAACGGAAGAAGAATTCTGGAGTTCTTCAAAACATTTGATCAGTTTTTGACGATTTTGAAAAACAACATCTACAGAGTTGTACAAACAGATGGTATTCTACGAGCAACTGATTCATCTAATGCTGATAGACGTGCGGGGAAATTTGAAAAAAATTTTGGAATAGCAGACAAATTTGCAAAAAATACTTTGGCTGATTTATTGCTTGATGCACTCTGAGACATAGTTAAGTTTAGTTGATGAACGTAACAATGAGTATAGTATGTATTGACAAACTTGCTTCTGACTTTTACTTGTACCCCACTGATTTTTCCAGACATTACAGCTGCTCCGTCGTAACTTTGGGAAATAACTTTTTGTACGTTGGTTTTAACCATGACATTTAAAGCGTCTATAACTACCTGAGATATAACCTCTGCGTCCTGTCCACACGGATTGACAAATGACCAGAATCTCTCATAGATTTTTCCTTTGTAAAAATACCTCACGACAATACAAGTCTGTGTTTTGCCGGAAATGTCGGTAGTGTCGTCTGCTATAATAGAAATGAACTTGGAGACATGAATTTGTTGTAGTATCTCATCTTGACAGACCTTTAACATACAGTCTAAAAGTTCATTCTGTATTGTTTTCGAATGTCCTTTGAACGCACTTCCACTGCTAAAATGATCTTTTATCGCCGAATCGACACTGCCAATAAGATCCAAAAGACCTCTGAAAACGCCTGAATTTAAAGTCTTCTTTTTCGTCGTGCCCACGTAGAGCTAATTCGAATGCACCACAAAACTTAATGCAATAGATTATTTTGCTTAATATATACCTATTTTTCTCAACATTCTCATTATGCTTTTGAATTGACATTCGGTAAGCACTGTCAAGTTGAGTAGCAATATTCACTTTACTTATATCCGCTAAATTTAAAGCATTAATTAGGTGTGTTTTATTTTGAGAATGTCTTTTAATTAAATTGCTTAAGTGTCCCAAATCCGTTACACCTAATTTTCTCCAGGAATTTTCACCGCCAAACAACAAGCATGGAAAGCAAAACAGTGCATTTGTTATCTCACATCCACAAATCCACTCCACTCATATGTTTTTACGTGAAATTGGCGCTTGCAAGTAGAACTTTTGCTTTTCGCATCCTGTGTTATTTTAAGGGTTGGAGTAGGTCGACCAAGTTCTTTAACTCTGATTTTATCCTCCAAAGAAAAACGCACAAATGGATTCACCAATAAATATGAAACCTGATTAATTTTACACGAAATATTATCAGAAAAACTACTTGCGACAACTAAGTAAATTAAGCTAAACTAGCGCAAACGGTCTCGCAACTAAATTCAACGTAAAACTGCATCTGAACTCGACAGACGCAGCAACAACAAACGGAAATCTCCAGCCGTGTGCTTGACTTTGGGCAGCAGCACCACCACAAAGCACGTATCTTCTAGAGACCCCACGCCAATGTTAAACTTTTAAACTAAATTAGCGCCACCTTGTGTTTGGAGCTGGAACTAAAATGACAATTGACAGATGGCGGTAAATTCAAATTGTAATTTTTAGGAGTAGGTAGTAGTTTTAAATTAAATTTTAAATGATTTCCACATAAATTATTTTATAAAATAAAGTATGGAACTAGTAAGTTCGAAACTTTTATTTTACAAAATAATTTAGGTCGATTATACCAAATTTGAGGAATTAATTTGTTATAAGGGGTCTGATGTGGAGAGTTGGTTCTGCATATTATTATTAAATAAATATAAGATATATCAATAAATAATAAAATAAAACATTCTTAAAATATGTTTATTAATAACTTGAATAAATATTATTAGATAAAAATAAATACAAATAATAATACATATTTAACGAATACTTACTTGGAGCAAATATATATATAATCTCAAATCTTTAAAATACCTATCAATAATTTAAATGTGAAGTAGAGACTAGGATATTACATTTTATTAACACTAAAGTTATATATTTTATAAATGTCTTTTTAACCGAGGACAAATGTAATATAGGTATTGTATTAAAAGGTGAATCCTTTTAACTATTCATTCAATGATAAATAGGTATTTTCCTTCCAAATACAGATGGTGGTATTACTCAGATGTATTATGTGAAAAATGATTTCGGAATCTAGTCCAGTGATAAATTGATTATCAATTAGTTGTTGTACCCGTTTGTCTTTTTATGATGCAGATGCATGGTGAATCAATGAAGTTTTTCTCGAAGTTTTCAACGTAGCACCAAAATTATTGCAAAACACAGTAGGTAATAGAAAAGCGAAACATCACAATTTTGCAAAGAACTAAGACGAAACTATAAACAGAAACCAAAAGCCAAAAAACAACAAAAAATCACTAAAATCAGACGGAAAAATGAGACTAACCAAGAACATAAATAAATACACGTCACAACTCACAACTTTGGAGTCTTTGGTTAAGTTTTTCTCCCATAAAGCTTAAAAATGGAGTAAGAAATCATAATTTCACTAGTAGCCCCATCTAGAGTTTGTAGCAAATAGCATAAAAAATGTCAGTTGTCGGTTTTGACCTTGGTCATTCACGTGGAACCTCTATGTGCTTTGTGAGCACCACCGTCCATTTAAATCAACGGTTAAAAACAAACAAACGAGCGGGCGGAGCTATAGAGAAAGTAAAAGTTGAAAAATCTTTTGGTAGGTAGAGAGGGGGTAAACCTCAAACCACGTCGGGCGGCTCCGAGAATTTCACAGTAATGTTTACCTGCCAGTGTCGTTTCATAGAATAAGTAATTTTAAATTGTTATCTGCGGAACCGGACAATCGCATGTATTTATGGATTATAAATAATTATTAAACATGTATTATAATATTCAAATTATAATTTTACAAAATTTCAACAGCTATTCACAATTTATTAAACTATTTACTCGAAATTGTTATTAACTAATTAAATTAACTAATTAAATAATTTTGTACGCCAATGTATCGTGTTCACTTCGGTGAGATCCGCTGACAACCTGTCAATTTATGTGTATAAAGTGGGAGAACTGGCAAAAGCATTTCCAACTTTTACTTCTGATATAGTGATGGGCGATGTTCATCGATGTTTTGGAACCATCGATGTTTTGTATTCGATAGTCGATGTTTTTGTCATCGATGTTGATAGCACCAGATATCGATGTTACCATCGATGTTTTTTTAAAACATCGAACGAAAATCATACATAAAAAATGAAGAATTTTATGCATTGGGAAGTGATGGGCAATAAAAAAGATGACGAATAATTAGTGGTTGTACAATCGAACGTAAAAGTGTACAATTTTGATGAAAATTGTACAATTTCAAAATCCCTATAGGAACAACATTGCACTATGGAGGTGTTAATTTTTATTAATTTTTATTATTTTTTATTAATTTTTATTAATTTTTATTAATTTTTATTAATTTTTATTAATTTTTATTAATTTTTATTAATTTTTATTAATTTTTATTAATTTTTATTAATTTTTATTAATTTTTATTAATTTTTATTAATTTTTATTAATTTTTATTAATTTTTATTAATTTTTATTAATTTTTATTAATTTTTATTAATTTTTATTAATTTTTATTAATTTTTATTAATTTTTATTAATTTTTATTAATTTTTATTAATTTTTATTAATTTTTATTAATTTTTATTAATTTTTATTAATTTTTATTAATTTTTATTAATTTTTATTAATTTTTATTAATTTTTATTAATTTTTATTAATTTTTATTAATTTTTATTAATTTTTATTAATTTTTATTAATTTTTATTAATTTTTATTAATTTTTATTAATTTTTATTAATTTTTATTAATTTTTATTAATTTTTATTAATTTTTATTAATTTTTATTAATTTTTATTAATTTTTATTAATTTTTATTAATTTTTATTAATTTTTATTAATTTTTATTAATTTTTATTAATTTTTATTAATTTTTATTAATTTTTATTAATTTTTATTAATTTTTATTAATTTTTATTAATTTTTATTAATTTTTATTAATTTTTATTAATTTTTATTAATTTTTATTAATTTTTATTAATTTTTATTAATTTTTATTAATTTTTATTAATTTTTATTAATTTTTATTAATTTTTATTAATTTTTATTAATTTTTATTAATTTTTATTAATTTTTATTAATTTTTATTAATTTTTATTAATTTTTATTAATTTTTATTAATTTTTATTAATTTTTATTAATTTTTATTAATTTTTATTAATTTTTATTAATTTTTATTAATTTTTATTAATTTTTATTAATTTTTATTAATTTTTATTAATTTTTATTAATTTTTATTAATTTTTATTAATTTTTATTAATTTTTATTAATTTTTATTAATTTTTATTAATTTTTATTAATTTTTATTAATTTTTATTAATTTTTATTAATTTTTATTAATTTTTATTAATTTTTATTAATTTTTATTAATTTTTATGAATTTTATTTATTTTTATTTATTATTTATATTTATTTAATTTTTTATTCGTTTATTTTTATTTATTTATTCCCCCTTCCTTAAAATGTGAAAATCCAAAAACCTTTAAATACGTTATTATATGAGTAGTTACAATTCCAACTTTCATGTTCCCACATTTAAAAAATCGATACTTTCATCCCTCTTCCCCCTTCACCCTATTTTTTCACTTTCCCACTTTCCCCCTTTTCCTATTTCCTCTACTTCCCTCTTTCTCCAAACTTTCGCATTTATGCAGTAGAAGGGTTTTTATGATACTTCCCATGCCCCCCTCCTTTAAATGCAAAAATCCAAAAACCTTGAAATACGTCATTATTTACATTTATGAGTAGCCGCAATTCCAATTTTTAAGTTCCTATATTTAAAAAGGCGAAAGTCTTCACCTTACACCGTCATCTATTAGGAATTCATAGAACCAATAAATACACAATATTTAGGCATTCCATACGCGGTGCTAAGGTTTGGTATGTTAAAAGGGTTGCGACATACGATGTAGTCTATCTGCATTATATGAAATAATAAATAATGGATAAAATTTAAATACTTTATGTTGAACACAATGAAAATATTATTTTTAAAAAAACCGCTTATACATTTTCTATAAATTGGCAGGCTCGGCGACTATTATTTCAAATAAAAATAGCGTCCAAGATGGAAGGCTATGTCGCAACTCCTTTAAATTTACTAACCCTTCCCGCTGTCAGATATTGTTTGACAGGTCGTTGGAATACCTAACTGTCGTATAATAAACATTTAATTTGCAATAACAAATATCGAGGTCAATAATTGAGATAAAAACTATCCTATCTTTTAAATTGGACCAAATTACCGATAGTTACCAAATTTTATCAAAATCCGTTCAGTAGTTTCGGAGTTTATCGCAAACATACATCGTGACACGAAATTTTTATATATATAGATATCATATCAAAGAGACAAGTAGTATACAATTTTGCAACTGTCATGCTTGATAAAAATTAAAAATGTATGTACATAATATAAATTACAATTCGTGCCTCAAGAAGTTGTGGTAGATTTTGAGATAGCTATTCATAAGGCAGTATTGCAAATTTTGAATAATGTAAAAATAACCGGCAGCAGATTTCTTGGTATCGACAAATTCAAAAACTTGAAGTATATATTATTATTTAAAAAGGCGTAGTTATGGGTCTATTTATACTCCCTTAGTATTAGTATTTGTATTAGTATTATGATTAAGCATTAAATTTGTTAAATCATTCAAAAAAGGTATTTATACTCGTTTTATAATTAGTATTAGTAATTCTTTTTTAAACCTAATACCTAATAAGATATAATTCTGCAGTCAACAAAATATATGGTTACTGAAGAAATATGTAAGAGGCCAGAGTTGCGTTCTTTTAAGATATTTGAGTTTTAAATGTGTTTTTATTAATATTTTTACTAGTTAATTTTATTTAAAAATATTATTATTCAAAAATAGGTTTAATTAAGGACATTTTAACGGATTTCAGTCTCAAATTTATAACAGATAAAAAGAAACAGAAATTTTATACAAATCAGACAGAAAAGAGGCCTTTGCTTCCTCGTGGTGACATGTCATTTGTCAACTTTATAATCGGTAAACACTGCTGATACATAAAAATTGTATACAGCGCATGATTTGTACCAAAATATTATCGTTTTCGAGCTTGTTGGAACAAACATATAAACAACATAATCAAATGTGTATTGTCAATTATCCCTATCCTTTGTCTATTAAAAACAAAGGCCAAATACGTTATTGATTCATTTTATAGAAAAGAAGAAATTTAATATTTAATTTAAAAGTTGAACCTGTCAATTATTAAGCATAAATATTAATGCTAATACTAATCATAAATCGAGTATAAATGTCCCCATTACATTGTGAAGGTTCAACTTAATGCTTAATCATAATACTAATGCAAATACTAATAATAAGGGAGTATAAATAGACCCTATATCGTCATGTTTTACTAAAAAATTGTTATACAAGTAGGAGCTACGAACCATGTCAAACATCTCCGTTCCCGTATAAAAATAATTTCATAATTTGTTTATTAAATAATAGTTATTAAGATTATAATTTGAGATAAAGTAGCATTACACAAGCATAAATAATAGCAAAAAGTGAAGTTCAAAAGTTAGGTATACAGAACATAGAAACGCACCTAGTGAGGATTAGAAGCATCCATTCGGGAGAATTTAATTTACAGCAGGGACTTGGCCCAAGTAGTTGCATAAGCTCTAAACTATTAATTAAGAACGAAGTTATTAGAGAAGTTACACCGAAAGATCGATGCTTAAAACTTGTCTTGAGTAGATATTTTAGAGTGCCTTTTAGCCGATTGCAAAGAGAACGATAAGGACCTCAAACAAAAATAGTCTAAATGCAAGGAATGCGCCAAATAAAAAAAAAAGGAATTTCTTGTACTAATCTAAAGTACTTAAATTTTAAACACTTTCATATCGAAAATTGGTCAATAAAATCAGTTATTTTGCATAATCTTATTAAGAAAATTGAAATATCCAAAATGAAAGCAAGACATTATTATCTATTTAAATGTTTATAAGCATTTTTATACTCAGATCATTAGTTTTCGAGGGGTAATTCATAATATATTTGGTAGTAAATAAAAATAATACCTGCTACTCCTATTCCAATCACACTCAGCCATATACCCACGTACACTCTAGTCGATAAAAAGTTTATGTTGTTCGTTTTGCAGATCTGGAACAGACTTTCGTCGAAGAGCAAAAGGGCCCCGGTGGTACCGACGATGACCAATGGTTGTCCGGCAAAAATTGCGAATATTATTCCGCTGATGCTGGTGCAAAGGAGAGTTTCTGATATGCCGATGAGGTTTTCCGTTTTGTCTCCTGTTAGACCACCGAAGGCGATAGCACCTGGAAAAAAACAAAATATATACTTATACGAGTTGTGAATAATGAAGTTTACTGAAGGACATGTAAGACCCAGTAAACAACGCTGTTACTTAACTTTAAATATATACTTTACATAAGTTTAAAGTAACCAAGTTATGTAATAGCTATTTGTGCAACCAGTTACGAAATGCCTCATTTTATGTAACGAGTGAATATTTGCAAAATGAACAAGTTACACAAAACGGCATATCGTAACGTGACAACCACTACTTGTTGTCGAGTAGTTTTCTTGTTATAGCGTGTTAATTTATTTGTTAAGTTTATTAACAATTTATTTTTATAATGCCAATCTTCATTTTTCCTTTGGATGTAATTCAATACCTGAAGAGTCCGGACGAAACCGGTTCAAGAATAACGTTCTCCTTAGTAAGCAAAATCAAAGGTAGGGGGTCAGAATTTTTATCTCAAATGTCTTCCCTTTGGTTGTAATTTAATATCTGTTACGGTATTAGCTAAAGGAGTAGTTGTGACATAAGGCTTTGGGTATTTTATTTTACGTCTTGGTCACATTCGAGTTGGAATTATTTTTTTTTTTTAAGTAACCTAATGCTGTAAACAAATGTAGGCGCGTCATGTTTACGCCATATAAATATAAATAATGGTATGTCATAAGATTTATTTGGCACTCCTAAACCACGTGATCCTTGGATAGTTAAAATGGTTGTCTGGCTTGAAGGCAAACAAACCACAAATTAACATTTAGTTGATAATTTTGTTTTAGTGAAATACGAAAAAATTCGGTATATATAATATACTTGTGGTTTAAAATAATAGACTTGAGTAAACACAAAGATCAATTTATAAGATAGCGACTTTCAGTGTAGTTATTTTACAAATAGTTGACTATAGTGACTTGTTTTTGAGGATGAGTCCAAATATGGCCAATGTGAAAATAGATACTTTTGTGTTTATTAAACTAGATACGAAATGTCTTATTTTATGCAACGAGTAAATATTTGCGGAACTAGCAGATCAAGGTCCCGCAACATGAACGCGTTACATAAAACGACATTTCGTAACGTATTACATACTAGTATATTATGACACTGATGCATAATCGAGCCTTTAAAGCATGAGCAACGAGTTTAAGGCTTCGATGCGCAGCGAAGTGGCCTTAACGTTGCGAATGCTTTAAAGGCGATTATACACTGTGTCATACGATATATTTTAGTATGAATGATTACAATAGTAATAGTAGTAATCATTTTTTTGAAAACTGTAAATTAATAATTTCCATGCAGTTTATCGAGTGGGTAGATAAATGTCATTTGACATTTTTTGTTAATTATTAAAATAATTTTTCTGTTTATGTTACTTGATTTAGGTAAAGTTGCAAATAATTTGATTAATTTGACAATTCAAAATAAAATCTGACATAATCTAATCTCATTTATTGAAGCGGTTACCTAGCGATAAAGACCCGATTATGCACGCTTTTGAGTTTTTTTGGGATGCTTTATGATACATGAATACTGAAAAATATCTTTTCTAATTTTGACTAGATTATTTATAAATTTGTGGTTTAGTAAAAATTACTGACATCTAGGCAACCAATATTACTACTTTCTTGTATTGTTAGTTGCATAATTTTATTGACAAATAGAACATAATATTACGTACCTATTTATTCTTAACAACTTGTAGTGTGTTTATATGGCTTATTAAAGTTGTTTAGTTTTCAAAAAAGTGGGTTATTTTGTCGTTAATTCTGTTTTAATTATTTTATGCTGATTTAAAATGGAAAATAAGGACCAAAAATCATTAATACTAGGTTGTAAGTTTAACCAAATTCTATTTTTATAAGTCAACCTGCACTTGTTTAATATACAGGGTGTTTCAAAAAGGTATGTCATAAATTTTTCCTCAGATAGATTACCAAAAAATAAGTGGATTTGGCTATATTTACCAATATAGTGGAAGATCAAAAAACCGCAGATATTTTTGCGGAATTTTTCTCTTCTATATATGACATTAATAAAGCTGATTACAAGTTAGATTTTAATAACGAAGTGAATAATATTTGCGATTCTTTTTTAATTAAAAAAATTTCTGAGGTTGATTTTGATAATGCGGTCAAAAAATTAAAGCCGAAAAAAGCTGAGGGTACGGATGGTATTCCACCATATGTTTTAAAAGGTTGTAGTGAATGGCTAAGAAAGCCCCTTATATTTTTAATTTAATTCTCAACACAAAAGTATTTCCAGTGCAATGGAAAACTGCTGTCACTACACCGATTTATAAGTCTGGTGGAAAATCAATTGTAGAAAATTACCGGCCTATTTCGATAATGTGTGCCCCATCTAAACTATTTGAACAGATAATATATACCAAATTATATAAATACGTAGAAAAATACATAGTATCTCAGCAACACGGTTTTATGTCAAATAAATCTATAACTACTAATTTGTTCATTTTTGGAAATCAAGCATTCGAAACTTTGGGAGCTAAATCTCAAATGGATACAATTTTTACAGATTTTCGAAAAGCATTTGATCGTGTAAATCATGATGTACTTCTAAAAAAAACTAGTAAAATTTGGGTTGTCTGAACACTTTATAGAATTAATAAAATGCTATTTAGAAAACAGAAAGTTTGTAGTTAGACATAATGGAGGAAAATATCATGCAAATTCCGGAGTACCTCAGGGCTCTAATCTTGGACCTCTACTATTTAATATATTCATCAATGATCTTTCTTCTGTTCTTAAGCACGCTGAGTGTCTTCTATTTGCAGATGACCTCAAAATTTACAGTAGAATAAACTCAGTTCGAGATTGTGTTATGCTACAAAAAGATATACATAGGGTTTATGAATGGAGTGTGATTAACAAACTGAATTTTAACATCAGTAAATGTAAAGTGATGAGTATAACTCGTTCCAGGGAAGCAATTTTATTCGAATATGAGATGGGAGGGGATACCTTGGTAAGATGCATAGAAACTAAAGACATTGGTGTAACCTACAACAACGTCTTTTCATTTGCTACACACGTAAAAAATATAGTTTCCGCAGCAAATAAGATATTGGGATTCGTAATAAGACAAACAGCAAATTTTACAAACATTAACACCATAAAGCTGCTATATTTTACTCTAGTAGGTAAGACCTAAATTGGACTTCGCATCAACTCTTTTGTTTTCTGAGTACACAAGTTGCTTAAAAACAGTAGAGAAAATTCAAAATAAATTTCTTCGATATTTATATTATAAAAAATATCGTATTTGGCCTGACTACAATACAGTTAGATCAAGTCATCTCAGAAATTAATTTAAAATATTATCATTGGAACAAAGAAGAACTTTATCTGCTGTTATGTTTCTGTAAAAAGTTATCAACGGTAACATTAATAGTCCAGAAATCCTCTCACTAGTTTCATTCAATGTTCCCGGACAGCGTACACGCACAATGTTAATGTTTCATATACCACATATACTTCTAACAGTTAAGGCACCTCTTGTAACTATTTGGAAATTAATCAATAACTACAACTTGTTGGTGGATATAGATTGGTCTCTACCTCAAAACATATTTTACAATCGTATATTGAGTTTCATTTTAAATATTTCCATATAATTGTATTAAGCCACATTTCAAAAATTTCTATAAAAAACTTTAACAACTCTGGTGAACTGTTTAAACCTCTACAATTCTTAGATAAATTAAATGTTAAATAGGATAATACGTATCGATTTGTATTAACCATGTAATAAGGCCTTTGTCTGGTTAAAAATAAATAAATAAATAAATAAATAAATAAATAAATAAATAAATAAATAAATAAATAAATAAATAAATAAATAAATAAATAAATAAATAAATAAATAAATAAATAAATAAATAAATAAATAAATAAATAAATAAATAAATAAATAAATAAATAAATAAATAAATAAATAAATAAATAAATAAATAAATAAATAAATAAATAAATAAATAAATAAATAAATAAATAAATAAATAAATAAATAAATAAATAAATAAATAAATAAATAAATAAATAAATAAATAAATAAATAAATAAATAAATAAATAAATAAATAAATAAATAAATAAATAAATAAATAAATAAATAAATAAATAAATAAATAAATAAATAAATAAATAAATAAATAAATAAATAAATAAATAAATAAATAAATAAATAAATAAATAAATAAATAAATAAATAAATAAATAAATAAATAAATAAATAAATAAATAAATAAATAAATAAATAAATAAATAAATAAATAAATAAATAAATAAATAAATAAATAAATAAATAAATAAATAAATAAATAAATAAATAAATAAATAAATAAATAAATAAATAAATAAATAAATAAATAAATAAATAAATAAATAAATAAATAAATAAATAAATAAATAAATAAATAAATAAATAAATAAATAAATAAATAAATAAATAAATAAATAAATAAATAAATAAATAAATAAATAAATAAATAAATAAATAAATAAATAAATAAATAAATAAATAAATAAATAAATAAATAAATAAATAAATAAATAAATAAATAAATAAATAAATAAATAAATAAATAAATAAATAAATAAATAAATAAATAAATAAATAAATAAATAAATAAATAAATAAATAAATAAATAAATAAATAAATAAATAAATAAATAAATAAATAAATAAATAAATAAATAAATAAATAAATAAATAAATAAATAAATAAATAAATAAATAAATAAATAAATAAATAAATAAATAAATAAATAAATAAATAAATAAATAAATAAATAAATAAATAAATAAATAAATAAATAAATAAATAAATAAATAAATAAATAAATAAATAAATAAATAAATAAATAAATAAATAAATAAATAAATAAATAAATAAATAAATAAATAAATAAATAAATAAATAAATAAATAAATAAATAAATAAATAAATAAATAAATAAATAAATAAATAAATAAATAAATAAATAAATAAATAAATAAATAAATAAATAAATAAATAAATAAATAAATAAATAAATAAATAAATAAATAAATAAATAAATAAATAAATAAATAAATAAATAAATAAATAAATAAATAAATAAATAAATAAATAAATAAATAAATAAATAAATAAATAAATAAATAAATAAATAAATAAATAAATAAATAAATAAATAAATAAATAAATAAATAAATAAATAAATAAATAAATAAATAAATAAATAAATAAATAAATAAATAAATAAATAAATAAATAAATAAATAAATAAATAAATAAATAAATAAATAAATAAATAAATAAATAAATAAATAAATAAATAAATAAATAAATAAATAAATAAATAAATAAATAAATAAATAAATAAATAAATAAATAAATAAATAAATAAATAAATAAATAAATAAATAAATAAATAAATAAATAAATAAATAAATAAATAAATAAATAAATAAATAAATAAATAAATAAATAAATAAATAAATAAATAAATAAATAAATAAATAAATAAATAAATAAATAAATAAATAAATAAATAAATAAATAAATAAATAAATAAATAAATAAATAAATAAATAAATAAATAAATAAATAAATAAATAAATAAATAAATAAATAAATAAATAAATAAATAAATAAATAAATAAATAAATAAATAAATAAATAAATAAATAAATAAATAAATAAATAAATAAATAAATAAATAAATAAATAAATAAATAAATAAATAAATAAATAAATAAATAAATAAATAAATAAATAAATAAATAAATAAATAAATAAATAAATAAATAAATAAATAAATAAATAAATAAATAAATAAATAAATAAATAAATAAATAAATATCGAAAACTGGCTCCTAACAAAGTTAGGTTAAACTAACATTCAAAAAAACGTGTTTTTTTTTTGTAAAAAGTTTGCTGTTGCGATGTTTATCAGGATGCCGTTGGTTAAACAACTCCGCGCCCCGATTTCCACTCATTGTTTTTAAAAAAAGCGCAATAATTTCCGCTCTTTCTGCAATTGAGTATACCATAATTGATAAATGTAATGTTCACACTGACACTGAAACACTAACCATAAGACAGGTATCTAGCAAATACTTGAATTTAAATGTGAAGAAAGAAACCCGATAATTTTTTCCCAACAAAAAAGAGCTTAAAGAATCTACAAAGCGACAAAAACAGCAAACTCATTTGAAAAAATACCATTATAGCAACAAATGTTTTAGTGTTTCGAGTTAATGAAGTGTTTTATTTAAAATCTGGGAATAATTAATATAATTTCAAAAATACGGCAAGGTTTCAAGTTAAATTAAATGGCTTTTTGCATTTTCCGTCAGTCATTATTGTTTACAAGGCTCCATAACGAGTGGCTCGAATTTCAAAAACTCAGCAACGTTGTATAGGAAATGACAAGACCCTTTTAACCCTTTGAGACCCTGTGTACACGCACATGTACATAGCTTTTATTTAATTTTTTAAATCTGAAAATTTCACGCCGCTGGTAATAAAACCAGAAAATATTGTCCATCCTATTTTAAAGTACTTTTAATATTATTGGAACCCTCTCCTGTGTAGTGGCGAAAGTAATTACCATTCTGTAAGTCGTTATAACCTTTACGTTAGCGTGTTGTAATTCATTTTTGTTAAAATAGATTCATATTTTTTGTTGCTATTATTGAAGGTACGTATTTACCCTAGAACTAAATTATTATAAAGTATTGCAGTTCTTTTCCTAAAAAATCGTGTTTATTCTAATATACCTTTGTATGTACAAATGGTATGGGGTGTTTTATTATTATTGTACTTTAGCATGTACATATGGTCTAAAGTGTTGTCAAACTTAATTGACGTATATTTCAGGGTCATCCAAATATGGACAGATTGAAACAAAAAATATAATTTAGAAAATCCGAATCATACCCAAAAACTGATAGATCTTTTAGAAGATGGTAACATATCAGATATTGGGGATAATGCACAACCAGGAACTGATAGATCAGATAGTCAAGTGGAAAATTTGATTTTTAAGATTCTGAAATTTTTAAGCGTCTAGGAGGAGACTGTGTGACAGACTTGAAGCAGAACGGATGAAAAGTCAGAAAAATGAAGGCAACGAAAGTGAAGACGACGTTTCAGATTGCCAATGTTCACCATTTTCCTGAATTTGATGTAAACAAGTAGGCCACCAGGGGCAAAAATAAAGGCTGCAAAGGCAGGAGTCACATATTTTGCAGAAAATGTAATGTACATTTGTGTTTGATCAAAGATAGAATCTGCTTTATGGACTTTCATGTGCTGTAATTCAAGTAAAATGAATGAAATATTTTTCTAAATAATAATCTTCATTTGCAAATTTCTGTTACTGTCGGTACCACATGTACACACCTATGTACAAAAAAAAAAATTGTAATAAGAGGAATAAAATTTTGTTTTATACCTTTAATTTCTTCTCTATCAATAGCAAAATAATATCAGAAAAATATTTTTTCAAAAACACATAATTCGGGCCACAAAGAGTTAATGAGGTATCACTTGACCCCCTTCGCCTTTGAAAAAATTTAGAGGATGACACCCCTACTGAGGGAGTTGAAGGTTTTACTATGATTTTTGCGTCAAAAGGTGTCCCCTTGACAAAAAAACGACGTGTTTTTGGATTTCGCCGAAAAGTTCTTTTCCACCCTGTAATGCCTTGCGGTACGATTTCGATAGGCCACCTTGTTTAAGATTTAATTGCTTTAAACTTCACGTCAATTTACTGTTTATGTCAATTTATGTACTATTGTCTTAGGCGGTTCCCATTCCCCCAATCTCCCTTATTCTAGCAAATGCGATAATTTACGAAAAAATCAACCATTTTGAATTTTATTTTTAAGTACTTTCCGCAATTTTTCTTGCGCTCACTAGGAATTGTCGCAATTTTACTTGCAGCAAGGACAATTGGTAACTGTAAAGTAGAGTTCTTAGGCATCAAAACCAGGGTCTAATATAAGTACAGAATTAAATAGTGTATTGTGCAACAAGGGCTGAAAGCAGCTAGTTCAGCACAGTATGTGAAAATTGTGAGACGAATGCAGGTACCATAATCACACGATTAATATATCTAAGTTCCAAATTTTCATTCCTTTATATTAAAATACAAACTGAACCCGTAACTTTAACTGGCTAATGGCTAATAATTTTTGTAGAAAATTGATTTAGGTTCCCGTTTACAACCAATTTTTCCAGGCTATTCCATCTTCTAGATTTTTTCATGTTTCTTCAATTTTTGCTCGGCCAGCCTTGTTTCCTTTTCCTACTTTTATCATGTATCCTCGAAACAGCTCAATATGTTTTGGATTATTAATTATTGTTTTGGTAGATTTTTTGTATTTAACGTTTCTGTATTTATTAGAGTTTACCAAATAACACACGGTAAATGGAACATTCAGTAACTACATATAAAAATATAATTTTATTTTTCCTCCGCCTCTGACAACACAAAGGTCTGTTGAATATAATTGTAAATTAACATTTTCTTCATACATATATAAAAAAAATCAGCAGGGACTTTTACAAGGTTTCACTTTTATACAAAACGAACGAACATTTTTTTGTCCCTCTACCACTACCCTTCTTTTGTGGTGAAAAATTTAAAGACTAATAAAAAGAAACCCTGTTTGTCTTTATGGAAAAAAAGTGACTTTATACAACAAAGACTCTTACTCTTTTTTTTTTTCGCTGAAATGAATCATATTTTTTAATTGTTAATGAAAGAATTTTGTTATACCTGACACAGCCGCAAAATACATAAAGATCGCAGCCGCTACACATTGTAGATTGAGACCGTCAGTAATATCACTTTTGTAGAAAGGATATCGACGTTTGAGGTCCTTGATTAGGCCACCCCAAGGCTTGCGGGTTCGTCTCAAGGGGTCGTCGTATGGAGGTTTTTTATCGTCGCCATCTGAAGCAGAAAATTGTTAAATATTACTTTTGGAAATCCATTACATTTTTTATAGAGTGTACAGTTAAAACTTTGTACCATAGTATTTAGTTACCTTGGTGGAATTATTTTTTATAACTTTGAATCTTTTAAATAAATTGTAATGACCTACGTGACTGAAAGCATGGATTATTTTGTCTACAAAAATATGAAATTAAATTAAAAAGAATATTATACAAAGTATGAAAGATAAGCGAGTGTGATATTTGTTCCTATAACCAATATGCACCTGTATTTAAATTTTCTGGTGGCACTTATTTAAGGAGGTCCTTTCGCCACCCCTTTCGCCACCAATGTTAAATAAAAAATATTAGATTATGACTAAAATTTATTTTTTTTCTAATAGTTGAAGTCCTTATTTATCTAATGTTGAACTTTTAACTATACCTTACCGTGCAAATTTTTGAGAATTTTTTTTTTAAATGTGAGTATTTGTACAGTGTCTTATGAGAAAATAAGACCTCAACAAAAATTCTCGAATTATATTATTATTTATTGATTAAACTAAAAATAGGGTTTTTGAAATATTAAGGTTTTGTTTTTTACAATAAAATATATAGGTTACCTTGAAATTTATTGAGAAATTAAAATTAAAAAAAAATAGAAGTAACCTAGTTGAAAATTTTTTGTGATTTTTTAATATTAATTTCTCAATAAATTCCACGGTAACCTATATATTTTATTGTAAAAAACAAAACCTAAATATTTCAAAAACTTTATTTTTATTTTTTTTCTACTCCATCTAATCAATAAATAATAGTAAAATTAATTATAATTCGAAAATTGTTGTTCAAGTCTTACTTTCTCGTAAGACACTGTACAAACACACACATTTTTAAAAAAATGTTTTCTCAAAAATTTGCACGGTAAGGTATAGTTAAAAGTTCACTATTAGATAAATAAGGACTTCTACTATCAGAAAAAAATTAATTTTAGTCATAATCTAATATTTTTTATTTAACATTGGTGGCGAAAGGACCTCCTTAAATTATCTCAAATATAATGCAATAAAATGGTTAAAAATAACAAATTGGACAAAATTACAATTTTAGCAGTAAAATCATTTATGCACAAATAAAAAGGATAATACAGGAATGCAACAGAGAGCAGTTCATAAATGCATGAATAAGATAGTACGATAAAGTATATAGTATATTACATTACGAGTGTGGAAAATCACTTTTCACACAAGTGATGTACAATATTTTTCCTACGAACACAAAATAATGTCATAAAAAAAATGTAAAACCAAGGTTATTATTACTATAATAATTCAAATGTATTTAAAAAAATAATCAACAATAATCGTATTTATTCAGTTTTCATATTTTCTAAACAAAAAAAACTAAAATAAAAAAAAATAAAAAAAAAACAAAAAAAAATTCTGCCCCGCCAAGATTTGAACGCGGTCGAAAAATGGCAAAGTTGATAAGTTCGACGTCCTAACCACCTGAGCTAATAGCCCTTGTGTCAATTGAATGATCTAATCGGTTATGTATTTAACCAGAATAAAGAGCAAACATTATTTTAAAATTATTTTAATAATAATTGTTAAAGATAAATATCTAGGATCTAATTTAGAACAATTTCAATAATTTAACAATCATATCGATTTTAGTATTAATATGGACATTACATAGATCAAAATAGAAATTAGGTGTTTGACATTTTGTGACAACTACTGCGGAAAGTAACATATTCTCACTAGGGTGGAAAGTAAATTCTTATTCATACGCGTGTGATATAGGGCACTTTCCATAGGACTATATAGTGTGATATGTGTCACTTTCCTAAGTGGTCGTAGGAAAAAAATATTTTTACATCAGTATTATTGTAGTCGTAAGCATTGTTGTACATAACTAAGGTAAAAAATTCTTACATTTAGATAGGGTGTCGTTTTAAGTAAGAAAGAATTTATTAATTTAATTTTTTGTTTATATCTTAGGAACGCGTTCAGGAATCATGTTCTGACCAAAAAGAGTGATATCAATTTTCTCTTGGTTCATTTAAGAACAGTCAAACATTCAATTTTGACCACAACTTTCGTTCACAAAGCCGAGTTAAAGATTGCACTTATTTTTTACCCAATTTGGATTGGATTAATTTGAGTAAATTTGAGTAAATTTGAGTAAATTTGAGTAAATTTGAGTAAATTTGAGTAAATTTGAGTAAATTTGAGTAAATTTGAGTAAATTTGAGTAAATTTGAGTAAATTTGAGTAAATTTGAGTAAATTTGAGTAAATTTGAGTAAATTTGAGTAAATTTGAGTAAAATTGAGTAAATTTGAGTAAATTTGAGTAAATTTGAGTAAATTTGAGTAAATTTGAGTAAATTTGAGTAAATTTGAGTAAATTTGAGTAAATTTGAGTAAATTTGAGTAAAATTGAGTAAATTTGAGTAAATTTGAGTAAATTTGAGTAAATTTGAGTAAATTTGAGTAAATTTGAGTAAATTTGAGTAAATTTGAGTAAATTTGAGTAAATTTGAGTAAATTTGAGTAAATTTGAGTAAATTTAAATAAATTTGAGTAAATTTGAGTATATTTGAGTAAATTTGAGTAAATTTGAGTAAATTTGAGTAAATTTAAGTAAATTTGAGTAAATTTGAGTAAATTTGAGTAAATTTGAGTAAATTTGAGTAAATTTGAGTAAATTTGAGTAAATTTGAGTAAATTTGAGTAAATTTGAGTAAATTTAAATAAATTTGAGTAAATTTGAGTAAATTTGAGTAAATTTGAGTAAATTTGAGTAAATTTGAGTAAATTTGAGTAAATTTTGTAAATCTGACAGAACAGTAGATAGACAAAGTTCGTATGGCCTCACATAGGGAATTTAATGTGTAAGCGTGAGAGGTACAAATTCAGTAGGTAATAGAAAAACGGCATTATGTAAAGAACGAGGTATATATTAACGTCGAACAGAGAAAAACATGAGCAAAAGGAAAATCTAGAAGGGCCTTAGCGTATATATCTTTATTGCTATTGATTCGATTCAAACGGGAAAAACGGAAATATGTAAAGAACGTCATATAGATTAACGTTGAAAAGAAAAAACATGCGCAGAACGAAAAGTCAGAAGGGCCTTAGCGTGTATCTTTATAGCTATTGGTCCGATTCAAACGGGAAAAACGGTATTATGTAGAGAACGCGGTATAATGTGGAGAACGCGGTATAGATTAACGTCGAACAGAAAAAACATGTTAATCTATACCACGTTCTCTACGTAATACCGTTTTTCCCGTTTGAATCTGACTAGTAATATCCGAGAAACACGCTTAGGCGCCCTTTTGGCTTTCGTTATGCGCATGATTTTTCTCTTCAACGTCCATCTATACCATGTTCTCTACATAATACCGTTTTTTCTATTTAAATCTGACCAATAATAACAAGTTTTAGGCCCTTTTGGTGCAGGATTTTTGTCTTCAACTATCATCTATACAGCGTTCTCTACATAATGCCGTTTTTCCCGTTTGAATCGGACTAGTAATAACGGAAATTGCAGCTTAGGTCCTTCTGGCTTTCGTTCTGCGCAGGATTTTTCTTTTCAATTTTTATCTATACTGCGTTCTCTACATAATGTCGTTTTCCCCGTTTGAATCGGATCAGTCATATCTAAGAAACACGCTAAGGCCCTTCTGGATTTTCGTTCTGCGCATGTTTTTTCTGTTCGACGTTAATCTATACCGCGTTCTCTACATTATACAGCGTTCTCTACATAATGCCGTTTTCCCGTTTGAATCGGACCAATAGCAATAAAGATACACGCTAAGGCCCTTCTGACTTTTCGTTCTGCGCATGTTTTTTCTTTTCAACGTTAATCTATACCGCGTTCTCTACATATTGCCTTTTTTCCCGTTTGAATCGGACCAATAGCAATAAAGATACACGCTAAGGCCCTTCTGGCTTTTCGTTTTGCGCATGTTTTTTCTGTTCGACGTTAATCTATACCGCGTTCTCTACATAATGCCGTTTTCCCCGTTTGAATCGGTCCAGTAATAATCGAGAAACACGCTTAGGTTCTTTTTGGCAATCGCATAATTTTTCTGTTCAACGTTAAAAGAGATTTAATTTCCCCCACTCCCCCCGCTTCCCCTCATTCTGTCACACTCTTACCTACTGAATTTGTACCTCTGCCTCTTACACATTGAATTCCCTATGTGAGGCGATACTCAGAACGCAAAAGTTGTTATTTCATGTCTTAAAGGTATTTGTACATAGTAATTTTTTAAAATTAAGTCTAAGTTTTAAAATAAATAATCTAATATTTTTTATCGGATTTACTTTATAGATTATTTATTATAAACTCGACATTTTATTCCGATGCACTACTTTTTTCAATTCGAAAAAATCTGTACAGGGTCAAAACCCAAATACATCATTTTCTCTCTTTTTTTTTTAATTGACCATTTATACGTATCTTTTTCATTTCAAAACATTCCATATGCATAAAGTTAATAATTTTGAGAAATTTTTAAATTTAAATGACAAAAAAGAATTCACAAATTACTTTAATTTTAACAGGCCACTGGTTAATTAGTAATTATGATTTAACCTTTGATTGATATGTATCACTTTTTGGAGAACCCTGTATAATTCAATTTTTTTTATATTGTTGTATTTTTTGATATACATCTCACTGTGTAAACAGATTTTAAAAAATCAAATAGTTTTGGCTATGTAGACCGAGGAGTTACCGGTGGCTCACCCTATATATAAAAAAAACAAAAATTCGTTGACGTTTACTTTCGCTATGGTTCATAACTTTTGGGCCCTCTCCCTGCTTGCGCTTAAAACTTAACATTTAAAATCTAGACAACCATGGATGTGACACATTTTTGATAAGGCAACCTAATACTGTTGACTAGAGAATAAAGTAACCTTTCATTTAATAAAAATTCAATTAAATAACTAATGAGGGTATATTAATAGAGAGATATTGCAAATTTCTATAACGTCAGCCACTAATAGTGACAACGTAATTAGAGGCAAATAAATTTCATGCTAAAATAAGACTTATTGCAAACATGAAGTTTTGACATTAGTGCCCTTGTCCTTATACATATTTCTAACCTCATTTTAAAAATTTTAAATTACAGTTCAACTTTTTTGTTGTCTATAATAGTACATATGGAAGAGGCAAAAGAAATTACCCTTTTAGAAGGTTTAGATGAGGATAATATTAAATTTTTATTATTAAAAAACTTAAAAGCTATAAAGTTGCCACTATCTGCTGCCCTTAAACATCTACAATTAAGGACGATCTGCGCATGCTCAGATGTCAAAAGAAGAGCGGCGCTAATAGTGACTGACCTTAAGTGAACTTGAAATAATTCTCTATTAACACCTGTTTACCTGTTTGAACCTGGTAACTTCATATTCATAGTTGTAAAGGAAAAGTAGGCAACTTATACTTTTCCAATTTCTCGTGTAATATTCTCTCCACTAATGTAACAAATCGGGGAAGGTAATCAAAAGAAGCTTATTACAGTTACTATTATTTAACAGTAGTGGCCCGTGATTCAGCTGGGCAACTCATTTGCGATTTATCAATGTACATAATTATTATCTAACATAGAAACTTTTCTTATATTTCTTATAATGTATCTTAGACTGTAATGAAAAAGTTTGTTTTCTTTGCCAATCGTCGGCCATATTGGATTTTTTGACGGGAGACGTTGCATTGTTTAATACATATTAAAACTGAATTATCATAAGCTTTTACACTATATAGATTGCTTAAAGTATGTATTTACCTTGAGCTAACAAAGGTTTCGGAATGATTCCCTGAGCTTCTTGAGCCTTCCTCAGTGCGTTCTCCTTCCGCCTCTTGATGGCGTCACTCTTCGACTTAATCTCTTCGATGGGCAGCAACGCTTGCCGCTCCCAATCGCCGGGAGGCAGCACAATACTGTCGTCTAGGAACTCGTTTATTGCTGAAAGTAATTCCTTTCTGGTGTCCGCTTTATAAGCGATATTGTGGAATTGCTGATTCGAAAATAACGTTGATATGGATCGACCGACTTCGTGATAATCGATGTTTGGCAGTTTAGGACCGAGGAGTAGGAAAATAAATCTGAAAATTGATTATATATAAATATTTATATAAAATTTCAAAAAGCTCTTGATAGACTATTCTTGTAAAAACTGTCAAACTACGGCCCAGTTTCGACCCAATTTCGTTTCCGTCTTCCATTTGTATTTGTCTCATCGTAAATTATTACTACATTATCAAGGGCTTAAGTCTAGCGAAATACATGCTAGTTCAGGGGTACCTCAAGGATCCATCCTTGGCCTCTTGTTATTTATCATATTTATAAATTATGACTGAGAAAATGAAGAGCGACCCTAGTAAATTAAATTAACAAATAAGGGCCTTTCACTCATAAATATAACTATAATAATTACAATTACAATATCAACAGTAATAGTCCAGAAAAATATTTTAGCTTTAAATATTTAGGTGTTGAATTTGACAGTGAACTTACATTTGTTCATCATATAATAGTATATTCTGTAACAAGGTTGGAATGAAAATTTGGTATGGGTATTGGATTTTCATTCCAACACAGTAACATACTGTTCTTTTTTCTACGGCCACAGACACAGTAGCAGTAGGAGAATATAGTAAAATGAAATTTTGAACAAAATGGAATATTTAACTTATGTTAAGCAAGTTTTTATTTGACTTGTTTGCATAAGTTGTTTAGGAGGAATATTATCAAATTACTTATAAAAATCATTATATTCACCAATTTTTGAATTTAAGTTCAACTTAACAAAGGCTGTTTATCTTTATTCAGCCAAATTAAAACTAAATACTAATACGTCGCGTAGAAATTCATGACTATCTACGATGCGGGCGTGGTATTCATAGCCATTGGCCAGTAGCTATTACATAATGAACATTCCGATTTTAGAGTAAAATACATAAGAGGCAAGGGTTTCAGAATTTTATTTCGATCTCAAGAACGAGAATGTTTTCTTTCTGATACACTTATACTACTGTATAATGCCTTTATAAGGTCGAATATATGTAGAATAGACATCAATGGTTTGGTGTCTGTGATATAATATACACATTCATAATCTTGAGAAAGTTCAAAGGCGATTTCTAAAAAAACTTATGGTTTAGAGAAAACCAACTTTATCCTCAAAGAGGTATTCTAAAAGATATCCTACTTTGTAGGTTTCAATCTCAATCTATGTCATCCCATAGGACCTTCTCTGACTTAAAATTCATATTTTATTCACTCCATCTGATTAACTTACGTAGACAATTTGCTGCCCATGGAAAACTTTTTACTGATTAATTTTAGAAAAAAAGTTATTCTTCATAAAAGGTTGTGCATGGTCTAAAACCAAACCTGAAATATAACCATCTGATATCAAATTATATCAGTAGTATAATACGCAGTTTGCCAAAAATCATATAATAATGTAAATATAATTTTTAGAAATCTGCCGTATTCTGTATTATATAAAATATCGGTACTTACCTGACTGGTATATCAACTTCAATCAATGAAGGCACAACGATTCCTTCAGCCAATCTGATGAACGCTATCGCCGGCTGGTCCAAAAAATCCACCTCCCCGACTAGAACGGTGGATCCCTGAGCACCAGCAGGAATCCTTTTAATGATCGCGTCATGGTGTCCTTTCCTGATGTCTTCGTTGCTGGCGCTAAACGTGTGATCGTCTTTCATGTCCAGCACGGTGTGATGGTTCTCGTGGTGTTTGATGAGAAGAGCATCGTGAGACGGATCACCGTTTTTTATATTGCCGTCAATTGACAAGCTGATTTTGCGTTTTTCCGCTTCTAATAAGTTCTGTGGACGGAAAATTTAATTGGTAAACAGAAAAATATGGTTTAGGAGTTATTTTATGATTATAGACTTGAATTACTATGAAAAGCGCCAATCGTCAATTCCATTAAAAGGTGGATAGAGAAGGGATTCTAGGAAAAATGCATCTAGACGTCGGATGCAGACTAGTCAATTGACGCTTTCTTTAGTAATGTATCTCTACTACTTTCATTAATACATTCAATTTGAACTGGTTGTACCCATTCTTCAAACTAAGAGCTTTTACACTAATAGAAGGGATATTATATTGTAGATTTTGAGTACAATGGGTTGCACACCTCTTGCAGATCTATCATCTTTGGTTAGAGCACTTTTCTAACAGACTGATATTGCATTTTCCTCATCTTCCTGACAGAATCAGAATCAATTTTAGATTTTTTTATGGAGTTATATACAAAATGAAGTAAATAAAACACGATATGATGGCATTGCAGAACTTCGAGAGGCAATTCATTTAGCCTTTCGTAATCTGCGAATGAGAACAATGGTTCTTTTAAACGCTATTCAAAGAATTACAAAGATGTGCCAATTTTGTATTAGAGAAAATGGTCGTCAATTTGAACATCACCTTTAAAAATTTGTTTTTCTTTTTTTTTAATAATGTTATTTTTTTATTTGTTATATTGTTACTTTATGCTACAAAACTATTGTTACAAACTTACTGTTATAAAAAAATCTGTAGGTATTTTTAAAAATATACCTATATGCAAGGTATCTAATTCTTCGTTAGTAATATGTAACTTTCACTTGTTTATTATTGTTATCCATGGTCTACTATTAAAAAATTGTCATTTATTTGCGTGTTTCTGAGAAAAAGTGCATATTATTGTATATTTTTAAAAAGGTAAAAAAGACAAACTTAATAGTCTATAAATACAGTTTGTTCGCTATACTTACGCGGGTTTCGGATTAAAATTTTTATGAGTATTTCTAGGTAAGTACCCGAAAGTTTGACCTGTTCTTTGGGGAAATATCAACTGGTTAAATGAAATGAAAAATAATGTACAACTTTTTAATTAAATATTAATGGAGAATCTTTTGTATAATTGAGAGCAGAATTAAATTTCTTCATTAATGGAGTCTAATGTGGCTATTATAAACCTAATAATAATAATTTTATATTACACTTCACACAGAAAATATGGTCTATGTATAATAAGAGGATTATTTGGCTCAAATAAAATGTTTTCTAACATAAAAATTTGGTCCATGTAGAGAATTTCAAATGAAAAATAAAAACATTGAACTTGCCAACAAAACTGAAAATCAGTCATTATCATCCAAAATATCATAATCGTCATCATCATCACTGTCATCACTATTAATTGTTATTATGGTGGGATTTATTTCGTTTATTTTATTTTCACGAGTCCACCAATCTTCTATTAGTTTCTCGCACTTGGATATACAGTTCCGCCTCACTTCTGGAGTTGCAATTGAAAATGCTTTTCGCCAAATTTCCCGAACTGCGTCGTTACTATAACCATTAGGCCCAATATGGTTGTCATAATATTGTTTTGCTATTCCCCATATATATTCGATAGGATTAAACTGGCAATGATACGGTGGCAGACGTAAAACTTGATGACCGTAACTTTCAATAATCTGATCCACAACAAAGGTTTTTGGTTTTGCGTGTATATTTGCCAAGCGTAATAATTCTTATTTTAATATATATTGAGGAAATGGTATATGTTCCTTTGTCAACTATTCTTTAATTTTATCAACAGTCCAAGAATTCGTTGGACTTTTGTTTAATACTTCAGAATGGTAAGGTGCATTGTCTAAAATAATTACGCTGGGCTCACTTAAACCTGGGAGAAGTTTTTCATGCAACCATTTTACAAACATTTCTGTGTTCATATTATCGTGATAGTTACTGGATTTGGATTTAGATGAAAATATTAAATCAGCAGCTTCTATAAAATTTGATTTCCCTCCTGCATGTAAAATTATGTGTCGCTTCCCTTCTCCATCGGTATGTTTGATGGACTTTACGTTATCATCTTGCCATATTCTCTTGGTTGCACCCCTAGAAAATATCGATGTTTCGTCTAAATATGTAAAATTCGTCCCTTCTTCTTTAAATTTAGAATATTTTCTTAGAAAGTTAATTTTCTTGTGCACGACAGAACTTCTTTCACAAAGGGCCTTTCTGTTATCCTCCTTTTGAAATTTGAAACCCAAGTTATGTAATACGTGCCATAGACTTGTTCTGCCAATGTCGTCAAATTTTCTATCTATTAATTCCGAGAGAATTGTATTTAAGGTCACATGTTCCTTGTTGACTCTCATTCGATAAATGGTACCACGAATTTCAAATTTCTTTCCATCTGGAATATCTTTCGTTTTCAATGATAGACGAGTTTTGCGGTGATCTTCTTTCGGCAGTTCACTATTGTGATTTTGTAATACTCCTCTTAATTTGGTTTCACTAATTCCTAGAGCATCGCATACGGGTTGTTGTACAGACATTACCGATTTTAAAAGACCGCCATTTTCTTTTTCATCCGTAAAATACTTATGTACACTACAAATTAGACTATCTACATCTAACACACGTCTAGGCATTTTTAAAATTTCCACTAAATTTACAATATACATACAATGTCAACATTTGCAAAGAATCAATTCAACTGCAATATTTGTAACAAATTTAGTACCTACCCTAATGTTATTTTAATTTAATTCCTAATTTCTTGGGAAAAGGTTTATTGGAACTGGTTGTCAATGACTAATTTGCATAATTTTGTTAATCCGAAACCCGCGTAAGTATAGCGAACAGACTGTATACAGGTTGCTCCATTTAAAAAAAAAACATAAGTTTGCTCAAAAATAGTAAATACGTAACAAAAATTATTTACAGCACTGCATTCTACGGAAAAAATCTATAAGAATGTTATTTTACCTTTTCGATAAGTTGAAGGATAATGCAACATTTTTAAAATTGCCCTGTATCTTAAAAACTAAAAGGGCTATGAAATTTTTTTAACAGCATCTTTAGTTTTACGAAAAAGTAGCACAGTGTCGCGAAAATCGCAACCCTCTATCTTTAAAAATAACGGAGATACCCTGCAAAGTACCCAAAATGGAATATACATAACTGAGTGTCTTCTGAATTTTATGTCCTGCAAGGTATCTCTAAGAGGGAAAGCCCACTCACGCGACATGTCGCGCGCGACTGATCGCGCGCGGCAATACTTTTGATGTTTTTAAATGACCACGCGACCACGCGACAGAACCGCGTTAATGGGCTTTGAGTAATTTAAAAACATCAAAAGTATTGCCGCGCGCGATCAGTCGCGCGCGACATGTCGCGTGAGTGGGCTTTTCCTCTTAGGGTTTAACATCGGTTTAGTCTTATTTTTATTGTTTTTTTTAATGTTACTGTTTTATTAGAGAGTTATTGCACGTTCACTTAAGGTCAGTCACTATTAGTGCCGCTCTTATTTTGACATCTGAGCATGCGCAGATCACTAACTTTAATAAAGATTGTGCCTGTCCTTAATAAAGAGATATTGCAAATTTTTATAAAGCCAGCCACTAAACTTTAAATTATAGTTCATCTTTTTTGTTGTCTATAATATTAAAGAGGCATTAGAAATTATAATTTTAGAAGGTTCAAATGACGAATATATTAAATATTTAATATTAAAAAACTTCTAACGGATACGAATGTCAGCGAGAGCATCCGAAAAGTATAAAGTCGCCACTACCTGCTGCCCTTAAACATCCACAATTAAGGACAGGCACAATCTTTAATAAAGTCAGTTTTAGAACATAAACATCTACGCATGCTCAGATGTCAAAATAAGAGCGGCACTAATAGTGACTGACATTAAGTGAACTTGCAATAACTCTCTAATATTTGCTGCCTTTAATTTTTTGTGACACCGTACCTTTGATCTACAGTCTGATCTAAATAAATTTGTCAACTGGTGCAGAAACTCTAAATATACAAATCTGCAGGCCTAGTAGGTCTTATAGACTTGTTTGAAGATTGTTTTCCATTTCTTCTTCTTTTTTCCAATTTCTCATTTATTTGCAATTTTATTCTGTTTCTGTATAATATTGAAACGCACGAAAAGCGAAAAAATAACAATAATGATTTCCATCAATTTAAATAAATGTAATCTCTGAGTAAATTGAATGTATTAAAGTTTTTTAGTACCTATTTTTAATGCAAAATATCACCTTACTGAAAAGTGAAATATTTGTAGTCAGGATTTCAACAGTGCAGGCGTCAGAAAATATTTCTATATGCAAAATTTAAAAATCGCATACTGATTGATGATTTTTTTATTTCAAAAATCAATAAAAAAAACAATATTATAATAAGTGTAAGGGGTTAAAGAAAATGTCCTTTATTTCTCACAAGTCAATTTAATTGGCGACCGGTTTCGAAGCTGTCACTTCATCATCAGGCACACCTTGACTATTTCCATAAAGGAAGCGCTACATAAAGTTTGTTAAACTTTATGTAGCGCTTCCTTTATGGAAATAGTCAAGGTGTGCCTGATGATGAAGTGACAGCTTCGAAACCGGTCGCCAATTAAATTGACTTGTGAGAAATAAAGGACCTTTTCTTTAACCCCTTACACTTAATCCCTACTACTCACATATGGCTACCCTCACTCCAAATATTATAATAGTCTATAATAATGAAACTTCTTAAACTTTTAGTTTTATAAATAAATCTACCACAACAAAAACTAGCGATTTTCTTAAACCTGTTTTGTAAACGAATCACCAATCAGAATTTCTATATTTTGAATACAAACATTTTTTGGTCGCTCACTGTATCTTTTTAAAATTTTATAAAATACAACAAAATAATTTTGTTAATAATATTTAATTCTTTAGAAATACAATATTTAGCAGAAAATATATTACTTTTCAGATCGATTTGCCAATGCTAGAATAAGCATTCTCAATGTACATTTAAATCTAAAATATATTCTTAC